CTTTACAGACTTATCATATGTAACTCAGAATGAAATGGTTGAAACTTTGGTACAATTGTCTGAACCTTTATCCTTATCAATTTGGGAACCGATGCAAGAACTGTACCTGTAATATCCCTCCGAGCTGAAAGACTACTGATACATTTTCCAACTGTTCTGTGAAGTTTCCTCAGCCTCGACAATTCTATACTGTTTGTGGAGCTTGGTGATCTGCTTCAGGAAATTAGGAATCTTAGTTCTATAATCTATACTAACATTGTTTTGTGAAATCTGTAGCCTAGACGTTATAGTTACACTTTCATTACAGGCAATGAAGGTTTATAATATTATAAATTTACATCATACTGTGAATTTTCTTCTGCTGTTCTGCATGTTTGGGTGCTGTAATTTGGCATAATATCTGGTAGTGATTTTTGGGATATAATTAGGTACTACATGGGTTGGTTGGGCATGAATTGGAGGATAATGAAGCTATTTTCATATCTATTGATCTATTTCTAATCTGTTTATAGAAATCAACAGTATGAAGATACATGAAGATAGATTCTGTGTGATTATGATCGAAAAATGACCTCAATTATCTGATCATTGGGGAGATGAAAGGAATATGTGTTTTCTTCAAAGTGCAAAGCTTAGAGGGTTTTTCATGGATGCTCAAAGAATTAGACTTTAAACTTTTTTTTATGACTTGACTCATTTGTGAGCACAGGGTACAGCATAATGTTCATTATCATATCTCTAGAGAAGTAAATCAAAGTATACATCTATATGCGTGGATAAGATAGCCTTTCGCGGCACTAAATAACACAACAATGCCCCTAATTAGTCTCTAAGATCACAAAAATATCCCCTTAAAAGTTACAACCCCCATATTTCTGATAACATTTTAAAAAGCATATCACAATTATAAACTGTTTAGAGCTAGATTCAAGTTAAGGACTGAAGTAGAACAATCATTGAATCGACCTGGAGTTAGTCAAAGTAAGAAAGTAAATGATAATGTAGAAGGTAGATTCATATTAGTCATAAACTTTTGCTGTTTGGTCATTTTTCTTGAAAGTTTATGATATGACATGGTGGTAGTTCTTTGTTGATTAATCACATTTTTTTTTTCTTCTTTAGGATTAATTTGGTCCATTGGTCCCCTTTCCCCCACTCCATCTTTGAATGACTATAAAATCGTGCCATTACTTCAATTATAATGTTTAAATATGTTTTGTTCTTTTCACTCATAATAAAAAAAAATTAAAATAAAATAAAAAGTCAGTTTGACATTGTTAGTGTCATCAATTGAAATGTAAGAATCAATGAAACCGTTATTTCATGTAATAGCAATTTATAAAATCTTTGACTAAACTTTATATAATCACTAAACTTGAAAAGCTACATCAATCGCTTTAAAAGTTTATCTTTTTGTGTGCATCTTACTAATATCAATTTATGAATAATGAGTGTCCGATCAAATAATTAGTTTGGGTTAAGTTACTAGTTCATGTTCGTGCCAAGGTTTTTAGGTTAAAATGTTTTTCACCACAGAAATCTAGCCTATCATTTTCACGTGAAAGCATATTTCTTTAAGTTTCATTTTAGATATATAGTTAAATTGGTTAGGGTCACATTCACTAAGGAGTAAGGGATTTAGGCTGGTCCAAATGCTGTTTCCTTCGTCAATAACCAAAGGCCGTGTTAGTAGTGTGATTCAATTTAATCTAGTAATACAACAGGTAGAGTTTGACGACTGATATCTAGTCATTGACTCATTGGTAAGATTACTATGATAGCATATCTAGCAACCATATCTTTGTAAACCTAACTTACGCGTTGCAACAAAGAGATGACAATACATATAACAATTAAAATAATAATCAGAAAAAATCAAACCTACCATAAGGGAGCAAAAAGAATTAGGAATTTGAAACACCCAAATAAAGAGAAATATCCCTAGCCATTAGTTAGTTGATTCACATGTATCATAATAGTGACAAATAACATCATCACACTTATCCTAATTTGGCAATACCCACTATTACAAATTTGTAAGGCCTTTTGACTTTCCTAATTAAAATTTAAATTGTGTTGCCTTAACTTAATTTGAAACAATTATCATGATCATCTAGTACTCTCCCCAGTTACTTTACAATACGATGAAGATAACATTAACAATTGGAGAATGTTATAATAAAAAAATGTCATAATCTAAAAAAGGCATTTAACTTTTTTATAGTTTAGGTATTAATTAGTGTTTCAAATAATATATTGGGAGAAGTACATTATACATTATTATGAGAAAATTAAAATATAGGACTATTATATTGTAATATACCATTTCTAGAAAGTTGATGATCGTAGAGCCTTTATCACTTGCTATCACTTACTACAACAAATTTTGTCTTGGTTATGGGACAAAAAACAAAGCAGCTTATATCGTAGTTCACAATTTATATTGCATTCATAGTCCTAACTAGACATTAGAAAAATTGTACAATTATATTTCAACTTAGATTGAGATTTAACTACATACACACCATACACTTTGTTTGATCTTGACGAAATTTAATCACAAATCTTAACTACCATCTTTCAAGACTACCTTTTGAGGAATAAACTTTAATACCATTGATCATATCACGGTCCAACTAGATAGCACAAAGCTAAATTGGAAGTTCAATAGATGAAGCCTAAGCCTTAACCAGCAAAACACAAGCAAAATGCAATCTTACATTTTGTCGTTGAGTTGAATAGGCATTGATCATGATTGTTAAAATCAAACCCGAGTGATAAGAGCCTAAATTTTTTGATACAAAGTGACTTTATTTGCTACAATAAGTAAATTATATTGGCTTTTAAGCCTATTAGCATGAGTTAAACTAACTAATTGTAACAAAGACATCAATCTAGGTCACTCTTTTATCAGTATTTTAATACTGCCCCTTTGTCCTCAAATAATCTTCTTATATTCCATCACACAAAAATAACCACGATACTTAAAAATTAAATTTTTGTTACACACAACCATTTATCTTCTTTTTGTTGGAGCTCGTTCCATGTGATGTGGAATCCTCTACTAACTTTCTTTCTCTCACGTATAATCCCATCTCACTCTACTAAATTTCTTAATATATAAATCCGAGCCTAATGTAAATGAGGATTATCTATATTGACGAAGGGGCTATAATTTAATAGAATTCCTTTAAATGATGAACAATAATTCCTCTAGAGCCTATGAGCAAGTAGTCAATAATTGGTAAGAACTTTAAGGTAGATCATAGAATAAAAAGAGTTCCATAAAGCTAGCTACCATTAATAATTTAGTGAAATAAGAATGAACAACAACTAGTACAAAATTGAAGGAGTTGAATGCCAGCATAAAGTTGTTTTTCATTACTATAATTAGGCGCCTTTGTCGCCATGGTGCCATGTATAGCAACCCCACAAGCCACCAACGCCATTTTTAAGTCTAAAATCTAAATCTATAAAATGAAGCATTTTTCTTTTCTTTTTTAGATTGAGCTAGGATGGGGGACGACTCAAGGGAGGACCAATATTCCCATACTTAATAATTATTTCAGGTCTTTTTATTTACTCCAATATCACCCTAAAATGCATTGGATACTTTTAAAAAATAAATAATTTTTTTTAAAAAAATCAATATCATATTTTATTCATAAAAGGCCAATCCTTAACGATTATAATAAAAATTGATACATATGGCCATAAAGTATTTTTCAAAAAATAGTTGAAATAAACTAACTACATCATATACTTCCTCTAGCTATTTTCTTTTTAGTTACAATACACTTCTTTTTTCACGCTTTCAGTTGTTAATATCTTTAATTACCAATATGTAAAAATTATAAGTATTTGATATTAAAATTGTATAAATTAAGATGAATCTAACATTCTAACAAGATCCGATCCCGGCCCACATAATTATATCTTTGCTTAGGTATAAACCATCAAAATTAGTCAAAGTGAAATAATGAATAGTGTAAAAGCTGCAAACTACTGCAACTAAAAAAAAAAAAAAAAAAAGAAGAAGAGAGAGAAAGTATATACCTATATCTATACGATGTTGTCGCATTATGGAGATTTTCATGTTGCCGCATTATATCTATCTGGTTTTTAAGTTGCCTATAAATGTTCAAGATAACATCTCAAATGTGTTGGAAGTTTTTTTGACTGAGTACGAAGTTTGCAAGTTGAAAGAGTTTATATATGTTGGTTAGACTAGGCAGTTTTCCATATCTATAATGTGTGACCTAAATTTATGTATGATGAGCTTGACTAATAACACTCATTCTGTAGTTAAAACAACCTTGTGGTCAAGTTTATGATTGTCCGTAAGTGTAATCCAAACCAAGTACATTGAGGATATGAGTTGGGGTAGTATTTCAAATTAAGATTGCTTGAAAGCTATTCAATTTCACACGCACCAAGTTCAATGAGGATGTTGTGATTGATCGATAGATGTGTGTATTTAATTTGTAACACACATGTCATGCAACCTACATTTATGCGCGTTATTATTATAGCATTTTAGTCATATAACTGATAATAATAAGCGTATGCTAAAAATAAATTCTACAAATAACGATCTTTGGGTTAAAGTAGGGCGGAGTAATTTTGAAATCTAATATTAATACTTGAAATTTTTTTACTATAGATATTCCAAGGAGGCCAAATAACAAGATTCTCTTAAAAAAATGACCCAATTAGACCTATTTGCCCCACCCACCTAAATAAAGAAACTTTCATGGGCCTCAATTGGATTATTCTTGTCCTATTGAAAACCAAATACAATGAATAATAATAACATTGTTCAAATTAAATAAATCTTAGTTCTCAAAACACGCTATTAAGCACATAAGACAAATTAGTACTAGCACTACTATTACATTTTAAGTGCAATAATAATGCAAATGTTTAAACATGTCGTACATCTCACATAAAATAAATCTTAGTAAAGTGATATAACAAGATTTTATAAAATAGATCCATAATATAATTCTACTATATACACTCATTCACACACCTTCTATGATAGTCACAAGCACTAAGCAAGTAGGCAAAAAGACCCACTACCAACATCAACTTGCCAATTTACATGACTAAAAAAAGGCAATGAAAGTCCCATTTAAAAAGGATCTTCCCCCCCTTCTTTCCATCCCACCACAAAACACACTCAAAAAAACTTCAATTCTCTCTTTTCTCTCTAAAAACTAAACCAGCAAAAAACTTAACATCTTGTTTAAGAGAGTACATATATATATAATCAAACCATATATATATATTTCTTGATCATGTTGCGTACATTGTCCGCGCTTAGGCAACAAATCGCCACCAAGAGAAAGAGTCCAAAGGTCGCCGATGAAACCATGTTTAGTAACACCAACATGGATGCATCAGGCATGCCTATATACGCCCATGACATAAATCGTACCACCCGGCGGCAACACCAAGCTTGGAATAACGGACTCTCGGTTATTTCTACCATTGTTCGTATCCCGTTTTCTATCCTTTCTTGCTTCTCTCAACACCATGGAAACCCCTCGGACGCTATGTGGGTTACCGGAGAAATGGTTAGAACTTCGTCGGAGATTGATCATCTTATGATCAGTGACAGCATGCGTTATGCAATTTTGATGTAGATCACACTCTTTTATTTAAGTAGGTTTTTTTTTTTTTTTTTTTTTTTTTTTTTTTTTGGGTTGAGGGTTTCCAAGAGTAAAATATACCAGTGGATGTAAGAGCTATATGAACTACCAGTGGATGTATTTAGTCTCTGTAAATTCTAGCTAATTATCTTGGAAAATAAGGGTTTTTTTTTTTCTTTTTTTTAATCTTCAAAGTATAATGACTTTCGGTTTAAGCTTGGGTTGGAGTAGGTAAAGCACTTTTTTTTTTTTTTTTGGGTGGTCCAATATATGAGAAAGCTAAAATTGTATTTGTACAGAAATTAAATGGAAACTAAAATTTGTACATATAGCTTAACCAAAAATGTATTAGGATGTCACATATTTTGATATTTGATATGCAATTTGTAGGAGATATATCCACAATGAAAAGATGATATATCCAGAGTTGATGTTTACTAATATAAAAATCCGGTATAAATCTAAGTTTGATGTTTATCAATGTGAAAAACCAATTTCATTATCAAGATAATTATTTTACAGTCAATGGGTTAATACAATTTTGTGTGTTCAGGTTGTAACATTCTACTTTATTGACTTCAAATTGAGCATTAAGATTCTCAAACCAAGTTAATACCTTTAAAATTGAGGTAGATAGTGTTTTGACCAAGGAATGTGACCTATTGGCATATGAATTAACTTTATCTATTTCAAGCAATATCCCTATAAATTTGGATCAATTTTTTTTTTTCTTATTTTTATTAATTGTATGTTTGTCTTTGGATTAATTTTTATATGTTTACATCATTCATGTTAAATTATGTTAATGTTGGATATTCAAATCACAAATTTAGTAAAACATGCGTTCCTTCAATTATGTTATTGGTAATCGTTATTCTATGACACCCAATAACATTAACAATAGATTTTTCTTTTAAGTGGGCTATTGATTGATGTCTCAATTAAATGATTATTGCTTTTAAAAATAAAAATAAAAAAATAATAAAAAAAAATAAAAAAATAAAGTTTATTGTCCCTGGTAAATGTGTTTAATTTTGAGGGGGGCTATGCCCCTTGTAAGGGAGAAAATTAACTTTCTACTCAATGTTATAAAAGAATTACATATCTATACCTATACAACCCTACCACATGTTTCCTCCAATTGAAACGACATGGTATGGTGTTATATTGGATTTGGCAGCATCTTTCATAATTTTATTCAAAACCAAGAATGAAAGAGGTATTAACCATAAAACTTGAACCTAGACCTTGCTTATACTTCTATTATTATAACGTGTTTCAATTATTAATCCAATGTAAACATTGATGCCATTTGGGGGAAATAAAATAAGATTTCTCTATTAGTGAAATAGAAGACTAAGGGTCTGTTTTCTACGGCTTAATATCAATTCAGTTTCATTCACTTCATCAACTTCAATCAGTTCAGTTCGGCTCATTTCAGCTTCCAATCTCCTTCTCTCATAAACAATTCATTTCAGCTCTATTATGTTCAGTTCAGCTCCAATCAGTTCAGTTTAGTTCAGTTCAACTCAGTAAATCAGAACAGGGCCTAAAACATGGTGTTTTTACTTTTACAAACAATTCACCAAAATGTCAATTTTTTCACTTTTTCCCCTCATTTTCTTAACCACCAAACATTTTCAACGTTCTCAAGACATTAATATAGTTATTACTACGAGTAACAAATGAAATTGTATATAATATACATGCATTGCACGGAATCAACACTAGTTGAAAAATAAGGAGAGAAAAAATAAAAGCAAGTTGATGCCTAATGTCAGTTAAAGCAAATGCAAATGTTTTTCCATAGAATGTTTTCCAAACAACCAAACTCTTTGAGATAACGCTCTATTGGATTTTGTCAACATCATCAATCACGACAAATCTTCATTTGCTATCTTCTTTATTTTTATTATTTTTAAAAAGGACTTGATTCAGTCACACATATTAAATCATTATAAATTAAGACAAAGATGCTTCAGAAATACTTAAACATAATGGATTTTTTTTGTATAATTACTTCCAAATCACAAGGACAACGTTCTTTTGCATAGCTTCAAAAGAGAAAAGATCCAATTCAATGTTATTAATGAATAAAGATATGGGAACAAATTCTGTTATGTAACTTTATATTTCATTTAATTCAGAAAGAATATATTCTGCACAATCTTTCCCTGCAATATGAACCAATGTCTCCTTTCTAACATGATTACATGTATAGTGCCATGCTACTAAAGTACTTATATCACAATATAAATCTATGTTTGATTTCACAAAGTTAAAAACAAGTTTCTATACTCTTCCTCCATATCCGAACACCTATATAACTTCGTCCTTAAAGAACTAGTTTAATTATATTCGCGACAATAATTGACATATATAGCTAGCTTACTACTCACAGAATCCCAACAACACTGTTATTCCCATATCTGATATCTCTATGGAAAATTCTTAACAAGGGCCATAAGGGGGAAGTAATCGATTCGCAACCATACCGATATCTCAACATCTATAACAAAATTCTTATTGAAGAATCAACCTGTTGCTTTATAGAATAAAAATGAAGCACATGACAGAAAAATGAGGTGTTAACTTAATCCATCATAATCCAAGGTTAAAATTTTAATGGTTGACTTTTTTCGACAGAATATTAAGGTGTTAACTTAATCCATCATAATCCAAGGTTAAAATTTTAATGGTTGACTTTTTTCGACTATGTCGAAAATGGGGATGGTTGACAAAATTACATCAATAGTCATCCAAATAGGGTAAGCATCATGATTAAGGAGGGAAAATGAAACAAAACAATACATTCTTGAAATCATGTGAATAATGTTGCCATGTTGGTAAGAAAATCATTGAAATTAAGCCAATAGTTAAGGAATATACCATATTTACTACAGAAAATAGAATATAATAGCTAATGATGTGGTTCAATCTATAACCATAATAAGTGGGATATAAGCAAGAGAAGTAAGAAAGCACTCCAATTAGAATTTAGCTTATATAAATGGGAACAAACACCCACTAAGCTAGCTAGTCATGATGATGAGTACATGCACTTCATGACTAATGATATCCATTTATCAATTGTGATAGGGTTGCCAAATATTTGTCAACTCACACCTCCAATTAAAGCAAACTATTTGTTCATTCTAGATAGGGTCAAGCTAAGGGATAATGAAATAAAGTCAACTTATTATGATCTTAAAAAGCATTTTCAACCAATTTTCAAGTTGCTTTCTAAGGTTGTCTTGATAATCTAGAAAGCATTATTTTATTTCACCCTTACCAAACTGCCGTCATTGCCCAAGGCTCAACAAACAATACATTCTTCCAAATCCAAATTAAGGGGTTACGTTACAAGTTCAAATTACACGATCATAGCAACAAAACTTTCAAATAGAGAGATTATATTTTGCATAGTTTTCATTGATACCATGTAGACATGTAGTTATTGTTTGTAGAAAAAAATTGGGTATATAACTTATAAACAAACATCCAAATCTTCTGCCATATTATCTCATGTTCCTTCCATCTGCATTAAAAGTAGTGAAAACCATTTAGAGATGTTCGGAGAAAGTTGTCACACAATATCACTTTTTTTTATTATTATTGAAAAGGTAGAGGTATTGGATAATTTTATACAGAGTATATTATATTACTATACACCAAATCCCTATAATTAGAATTTAATATTCATGTAAATTTTTTTACTTATTATAGGTAAACTAAATCCAGACAAACCGAGAGGAGCATATAAATATAATTATGGGATGGCTAACTTAAAAAACTGAATGTCAACTAGCTTCTAACATTCCATAGGACGTTTGTCATGCCGTCAAATCATTAGCAATCCATAATTTTCACAAGTCAAATAAGCCTCTGAAGTCAACTAAAGAAAAGATGGAGGAGGTGACAACCAAATACTAAACCAACATTTCCTCAAAAGATAAAAACAGCCTGTTCCTGCACATAACATTGTTCAATAGTTTAGCAACAAGGCCCTATAGTAATCTGTAATTAACAAAGGAATGAGGGATCAGTACACACACTAAACAAAACACAGGGAAGCCTATGCGAAACACCAAGATTATATGCTGTCGTGATAACGAAAGCTAGAGCATGGTAAAACCTTGGTACTAACAAAGAGTAATATCAATCACGTCGATACAAAACACTTGCGACAATATCAGTACGATATTAGGCAAACAGATGAAGATTTAAGATTTGCTGTTAAGGATTTCCAACTCCTGTCTACTTTGGAAAAGTAATTAACTAATAAGTGAAAGGAAAAGGAGCTCAAGGTACAATTACGCGATAAAAGGCAAGATCAAATCAAGGTTACATCAAATAAACCACTCAAGAAAATACAGGGCAGGGCAACTAAGGTACCTTTCAAGCTTTACTAGTTATGCCTTTCATCTTTAAAGAGGATTTTTCCAGATGCAAAGCATTATGCTCTTCTTTACCCCACATCATTAGCTACATGTTGGAAAATGACAGAATTAATAAAGTAGATTATCAGGTAACTATGGCAATAATAGAGTCTTTAGACTATTAAAGTTACACTCTTTCTTTCCTTTCCTTACAAGAGGTGCAAGAGGGGTAAGAAGAGATCTAAGCAAGTAAGCATTGGATTATAGTTAATTGAGTGAGCACGGCTCAATCAGGATACATAGAGTATTTAAAGAGCTAATCGAGTGAGAAGGTCTCATACAGGACCGGATTTGGGCAGAGATTTTCTGGCCTGAAATATGACTGCCTCAATAAGTCATTAAGCCAGACAAAATTTTTTGAGCTAGTCAAGTACTCAAGGTTTTCACATCATGACCCCAACTATACCAGGCATGGCAACGATTTTTTTAGGCCTAAAAAAGGCCAGCACCGACGTGCCAGGCAAAAACGAACCAGTATAATGGGGTGTATGCTAGATCGGCCCACAATCAGCTCTACTACAAGAAAAAGATACATAAAAAAGATGTAATCAGCACTGAAAACATATAGACATGGTCACCATGATCATCAGTAGGAATCTACAGTGTAAAGAGAATAATATCGCACTTCTTGTCCATTATAGAGAAATATCAGGTCGGCTGTTTGATGTTAACCGCTTAACCTGCAAAATTAATGCATGTAGTTGGTGTGAATATCAGAACAAGGCATTCAGCATCACAGAAAGGGACATGAACTTCTATTACCTGAATCCTATAACTTAAGTAACCATAATTAACTGCTAAAAGTGACAGATTAGGCATGAAAAACTCAAAATTAAGTAAATTAACCGCAATTGATACCACAAGTCCATATGAGAATCTACAAGGGTATAATTTTGTGTAATAAGAATCTACTAATCATCATTACTTTTCTTACCGGAATTTAGCTGTAATAAGAGAATAAGGCTAATCCAATGAGTACTGCTCCCCTAGATGCTGAGATGCTTAATAGAGGTAACTTTAGGTACGGCAGTGGGCTGTACCATGGTATTTGGATGACAACCAA